GCCAAACTCAATACATGCATAGGTTATGCTAGTTGTGCTCTGAATGTTCTGGTTGGTTGAAAGGTTCGTTCCCATCCTCATCAAGCACCCTAACATTTGCGCCTCAACCTAGTATACATTCGTTACCTTGGCGCACATGCCCAGTCCTCGGGAACAACACTGGACCCCACAAAATACAAGACCAGTGGGAGGCAACTCATCCACAAACCTCATTCCACGCCAACAAGGGCGAATGGCAAGCATCATGGGCAAGACCACTCCACAGTATCACAAATTTGGGAGAGGGTGGGATACAAGGCGTGAGGGATCTAGCGCAGGACCCTCAGCTTATGCTTTCGCATGCCAGGTTTTCAAGCTAAAGCTGTCGCAGTCCCGTCCTGCGGGAAGTTCCTCCCGACTCCTCGAGGGTGTCCTCACAGCATGCAGAATTTCTCTGCCAACTTTAAATTATAATATTAGGGTTCTATTGGGGTTATATTGGGATAATGGAAAATAAAATGGAAACTACTATAGTATAATAGGGTATATGACTCTCTGACTCATTCTCCTTCTGGTATGGTGAACTGCTTTGCCCTCTCGTAGTGCTCTGGCCAGTGAAAGCTCCCCCAGTTGTCGGCCATGATCAAAGCCAGCACAGTATCTGGGTGGCCTTGTGAGTGCTGCTTGTGTGGCTGCAGACATCAGAAATTGAAATGCCTTCTGCCCTGACTCTTCCCTAACAACTGCGCAGGCTTTTGAGGGTTTGTTCAAGAATCCCAGGAGAAGATTCAGCACAACCTGGCGGCCTGGCAGAGCATTCTCCCAAGCATGCAAAGATTCAGATTATGCCTCCACAGAACAAAGCAACCCAAACTCAAGCAAACTGGACTAGCCGGGTCGCGCACCGCATATCCCAACGCAGCTCTCCCGCCCATGGACTGCGCTATGAGGACGACGCGAGTCAGACAGAGGTGGGCCACGAGCGCTTCCTCAGACACTGCTTGACCAAGGATGTTGTATTGGATCCACTGTACTTCCTGAAAAAGAGAGGGCGCCTACTAGGTGACCTACTACTCCATCCTATATCCTGACTTCTGTTACATACTCCGCTGGCCCTCAACCACCAAGCTGTCAGACTCTGACTGCAACGAGGCTCCAAGTCGGCTATAAGGAATGTCATGCTGTCGCCAGTGGGATTGGGAGACCGCCCATATCCACGGATGTCATACGCGATGCACCGCAAGATGGGCACTTGGCATCCCAGCAATGTGTCATAGGCAGCATACACTGGCCCACACAAGACTGAGGCCAAGGCCGAAGGCTGGAATCTGCTGCCACCAACCGACCTTATGCCGTGGTGGTAACTGAGATATCCAGCTTGGATTCCTGCCTCCCTCATGTGGTGCTTGGAAGGGCGGCCCGTGCATCGTGGGTATTCGTTGCGAGTTGAGCTAAGGTGTTGAGCGGGTAATTCAGGTGACAAGGCCAACACCCTCTTTTGAAATATATCTCTAGAAATCGTGGATCATCTGTTCAGGTGTGCCTGTCCTCCTGCCTGTATCTGCCTGTGAAAGCCCTCCTGTGAAAGCCCTGAGCTGCGCTTGAGGTTCTCGCTGTATTTCCGCCAGCCCCGTGAAGGAAAATTGCCGCAGGACGTGATGCCCCTGGATCGCTGTCCTCCTGAAAGCGCCAGCCAAGTCACAAGCTCGCCGACTGCTTCACATGGTCGGAAAACACACCACAGGTCGACCAAGGCTCGTAATAGAGGTTGATTCCGTTCACTTCTGCGGTGGGCATGGGGACCGGCGGCTAAGTCTGGCGCTGGCTACTGCTTCCCGCTCACTCAGCTGAGATGGAACGGCTGCACATTCTTACCAGCTGCTCGAGTCCAGAACATCCGATGTGGAACTTGGCTGTTCATCAAGAACCTGGTCATCTCACAAAGGACTCAGGGCGGCACACTGCGGATGACCGTCACCGCTGCTGCACTGCTCAGTTCCTGGCAACATCTTCTGCCGTGTTTTGCTGCTGGCGGCAGGCCTTGTATGATACTGCTACATAGTCGTCAGCACCTCGCCAGCGTCCCCGCCGGTGGCTTTCAGGGTAGCTGCTACTATCTACCACATGGGTATGTTTGTTCCTGGATTGGTTGAAAAGGCGGTTCCGATGCGTGCCGCCTCATGCCAGAAGCCTGAAATCGGCCTGCTGTTACAACTCATGTTCTGATTGCAACTGCTGGCTCTGCAGAAAGCTTCTACTGCAGAGCTTGCTTTGCCATTCCTTCTTATAATACACGGCGCTATAACAACTCCCGAAGCCCATCCAGTCCATCCTTTCAAGATAATCAAGCGAGATGCTCTAAAAAGTCTCTAGCGCTGGACTAGCGGTTTAGCGCTAGTTGATTCATTGGATTCCCCTGCGTGCCACCTCATGTCGAAAAGAAAAACGATCCCATTCATGCTTTTTATTCATTCTTTATAACCTACAGATGTGCATGTCTTGGACGTGGCTCACACCTGGTAGCACACCGGCATCACGATCAAGAACAGTTATTTGGCAAGCACAGGTCGAACAATTTTGCTCCAGGCAGAGCGCCGGGAGTCAGATGTTGGCAACGAGTCCCAGAGCCAGAATGCACCCCACCCATGCTACTCTCTACTTGGAGGGTCATGGGACTTAGTAACTATTTATAACTGGGGTTGCAAGCTTACAAGCCTACTTATAATTGGGGTAACCCCTATAAGGCCGTTTAGGGGGTTATAAGTAGGCTTATAAGCCCAGTTATAAGTAGTTACTATTTCCCATGAACCTTCAAGTACAGCGCCACTGACTATGAGGTTTTACGCATCCCCGCCGGCCACCTTGGGGTGCAGGAAGTCATTCTAGACATGGCGCATGTCAGACACACCGAGGAGCATGGCTCAGCAGCTCATGGCATCCGCAAGCAAGATGTCGCTTGCAGCTTTCTGTTTTTCTTCTGCAGATGAAGTTATATGGGTGTTTCCCCAAATTAGGGGTACCATTTTGGGGGTCCCCATAACAAGGATTATAGTATACTGGGATCTACATTGGGGTCCCCCTACTTTGGGAAACTACCATATCTGGCCCGCCGGCTGAAGCCAAAGCTACGGCAAGGCTGCAGGTGCTGTGTCAGAGACAAAAAAACCTAATGCCGCGCACTTCGCCCTACACGTCCCTTCCGAATCATGATCTTCGATGTACCGCCTAACGAGGTTGTCCTGGCTGAACAAATGCTACCCGATTTGATCTCCCACCATGGGTCCCCATAGCAGCGAAAGGGAGAACAGAATCGGAACTTACCGATGGACCTCCCTGAGAGCCTTTGCGCGCAACTTTGGGGTATAGGTTTTTTTTGCCCTGGAGGCGCGGCCACCGTCCGCGGGCCGCGGGCCGCGGGCCG